GAATGTTTGTTCTTTAGGAAAATCAGTCTCTCCTATTAGTAGCTTCTCGTGAATTTTCGCTGTACTGCGAAGGAGGCATTCTGTTGTAAATGAGATAATAATACACTGGCTTTGCAAAGATAAGCACGCAGTGTGCAAATTAAAAATATTCGAAAGCGTATTTGAATTTCTGAAATAAAATAGCTGTAGATGCAGATGACAATATGCAGATCTCGTATGTTACACCTAATTATGATCGATGTTCGAATAATATGCCAAGAATAATATGCCAATTAGGCAGTCGTTGAAGACTCCAGCATTCAACAGTGATACGAGGTGTTTAGGACAATTTGTAATGCATTTTGAGTTTCTTTGGCTGGAAAAAGACGAAAGGCAGATAACGAGCGCTTGCGGGGCTGTCGGACGCATTGAAGCTGAGCAGTTAATTAAACGCTTTTAAGAGGAAAGCTAACTCATGTTAACGTTACATATGGGAAAATCAGCAATGCAATGAACCCGTTCGCCTGAAATTGAACTCGAATCAAGTCCAACTATCAGTGTTTATAACCATGCGGCCACTGGTTGGGTTTCTAAAAAATAAACATGTTTCTAGTTATATTAAATTAGTTAAATTCCATTGATATTTTTAGGACATTTTTTCTCATTACTTAATGTTATTTTCCGATTAATATATTATAAAAATAGTCATATACAAACGTTATCACAGTAAGCGTCGCCTTTTGTAACAGTAATCATCATGCTTGGTTAATCTAATAAGATTTGCTGCTGTTAAAATTTGTTTTTAGTAGGAACTTTTGCCCAAGTACCTGACTGCAACAAGTGCTGTTGTTAAAGTATCGTATTTACATACTCTACACCAGGGGTTCTCAAGCTTTTCAAATTTTGTACCACATAAATATGAAACAAAAATATATGTACCACCATAAAAGCATTTCACCATTAAAAATCAATGCATCCTAAATGAATTGTATGTAATCAAAGAATAAAGTCCTTTATATTGTTTAATTATATTCGTAAATAAAACTTTTACATTATTATAAAATATTGTTACGAAATGTACAGGCGTGGTAAGATGGCTTCCCCGCAAGGCAGTTTTAGCGTTGCCATAAAATGGCAAAGGATGACGGAGTTGCCACATTTGGTGATAATTTGCCCATTTGGCGACAAAATTGACGATATGCCATGGACGGATGGAGAACCTTCTGAACGAATTCTTTACTGGTTTAGCACAGAATGTTCTCGAACGCAAGCCGAAAGCTATATAAATCCTGCTGGTCTGCAGTCAGTGCGTGTGCTTCATCGAGAGAGCGTGTGTATGTGTGCTTCGTCTAGCGAGTTGATAGTCAGTCATTGAGCGAGTGTCTCGAAGTCTAGCCCCGAGTGGTCGTCGATTGCATCAAGAAAGCCTTTTAGTGCATCGCGAATTAGTACATTGTCAAGTTTTGTCTTAGACTGTGCTGAGTTGAGAGCTATACTCTTGTGTATCGTCGAGTGCATCGCGTGGAGAGTCTTAAGAGTATGTGGAGTTCCGAGAACGACCAAGCAGAGTTGGGAGCTGTACTCGGGTCCTTTGTGGTGAAGCTATGTCCACCGTTTTTGCCTGACAGTGTGAAGGCTGTGTCGCTGAATGTGTCAGCTTGTTTATAACAGTTCGACGAACTGTAAAAGTGATTTTGGAGCTACCTGATTAATACTGCTAAATAAAAGTGTGTTTCGATACTTCATCAAGTGTCATCGTTATTCACTCCAAATCTACAAGCCCCGTACAAATGTGAAGGAAGAAATAACGCAACAATATAAATGAGTATACTACGAGTAAACTGGAGTGCCGTTACAATTCTTGGAAATTGTAACATCGGGATTGTTCAAAAATCTTGGAAAAGTCGTCATTTCAACATTAAAGCTAGAGTCGTAAAAGTCAAAAACTTGAACTATATGTTTCTGAATAATAAAAATTAAAACAAAATGTTAAAAGGGGTGCAATTTTACATTCATTTAATTTTTTCTGTAAAAATTGTACCACTAAATATATTGTAATGTATCACCAGTGGTACATATTCCACAGTTTGAGAACCGGTGCTGTACACAAATGGCGCGATCTTTGTTGGCATTCTACCAAAATTCTTCTTAGCTTCCCCCAGTAGAGATGTTATTAGAAAGCAAGATGTAGAGCCGATTCAGAAACTTACACACTTTTTACCCCATGCTAATAAAGTGTTTGATGGTTAGGATATTGGAACTTATAGTAATCCAATATTTTAAAAGGAAATATTTGAATTCTCTATATATGAATATAATATATGAGTTCTAGCCTATCTTCCTTCCTTTCATAAGCCATATGCTCGTGTGAATTGCATTATAAATAGGAAATACAGGAGTAACTTAATTTGAAAGAAATTATATTCTGTAAATTTATCCTTCTTTTATTTCATATAGTTAACACTTATAAGGTATTTATCCCACCTTTTTAACATGCCTTCGTGGTGTAGTGGTCAGCACACTCAGCACGTATTCGAGAGATCCGTGGTGACGAGAGCATTGCTCATTTTTCATGTCTCGTGCTTTGAAATATCCTAATGTCTCTACAGTGGCGCCCAAACTGAAAAAGGTGGTGAATGATAATTCCCTACCACCAGGATTTGGCGAATGGGTCCACTAATCTCCAGTCACCCTTTAAAAGAGGGGAGTATATAAGGTATTTCTCCCAATTTCTTAACATGTCTTCATAGTTTAGAGGTCAGCACATTCGGCGCGTATTTAAGAGGTGTGTGGTTCATTTTATGGGTCGTAAGGGATGCATAATTGGTAAAAGCATTATTCAAAATGATGCGTCTTTGTATGACAGAACATTAAAATTTCACTTTTCAAAAGGAATTTTCTATTTTGCAAATTTTAGCAATGATATATCATGTACGATGTAAAAACATACTCCGTATATCAAATCCATTTTGTATATCACTTGTAATGTAAAAGCAAGTGAAAAATTAAAATAATGAATCACAATATTATAAATCAAATATAAATAAAAATAAAAATTATGAAGTACAATGATATAAAATTAAGTACAATCAATCTTGAGTAGCAGGTCAACTGAATAAATTTATTTTATTAAGTCGAGTATATACAAGATGTGACATAAAGACTGGTCTAATAAATCATTGTACTTACAGAATCAGTTTTCTGTGAAATTATCACCTTCAAAGTAGTTCTCTTCAGCATTCACACACTTCTGCATTCGGTGTTGACATTGCTTTTTACAGTTCTGGAACGAGGTTTTTGGAAGGCCCTTCAGGAGATTCTCCTTTTTTTTTTTTTTTTTTTTTGCCTGAACCTCTTCAGTTGAGATAAAATTGGTTCCCCTTAAGATTCCCCTTGAAATTTAACTTTTGGAAATAAAAAAAAAGGTCGCATGGAGCCAAATCAGGTGAGTAAGGAGGATGCCCCATCACAGTAATGTTTTTTGCTGGTCAGAAACTGTTTGACAGATAGGGCAGTGTGAGCGGGTGCAAACCATCCATCATTCCATAACTGTGGCTTTTTTTTCCTAATTTTTTCACAAAGTATTTTTAGTACTTCAATGAAGTAGTGTGTAAGGTATTTCTCCCGCTTTCTAGCGTGCCTTCGTGGTGTAGTGGTTCTGCACGCTGGGCCGGTATTCCAGAGGCCCGTGGTTCAATTCCCGGCGAAGGCGATTGCTCATTTTTCATCTCTCCGGGTTTTCCAATCAGCCTGATGTCTCTACAAGTGTTCATTAACAGTTTGACCACTGGGAACAAAAATACTTCGTGAAAAAATTAGGAAAAAAAGCCACAGTTGTGGAGTGATGGATGGCTCTTGCACCAGGACAGTGCATCCACTCACACAGCGCTATTTGTCAAACAGTTTCTGACCAGCCAAATTCATAATCTTCCACACTGCCCCTTCCCTCTGAAAACCACTTATGTCATTCAAACACACGTGCATGAGACAAAGTTTACATTAGACATTTTTCCGGCAGAATGCAGTTGCCGGAAAGTCGAAACTGCCCGCATGGATAGAGGTGTGTGGCATGACGTCACTAAAACAGTTTTTGCAAACTTCACTTTGTTTTCAAGCTACACAGTCTTTTTGTGTGTCTGTGTGTGTGTGTGTGTGTGTCACATTTTGTATATTTGGTCCTACTGAATTTTTTTTCTCATTTCCATACGATACACGCTAGATGTTAGCTGGCTATCAGATTCCATTCAAAACATGATATGAACAAATTATTCATTCGTCTTGTCCATTTTTTTTTTTTTTTTTTTTTTTTTTTTTTTTTTTTTTAAGACTGCAACTTCTAACCGCACTTCCATTCTTCCTTAGGAATTCATCAAATCGGTTTGCGTCTGCCAATCAAGAAAGAAATCAGATGTAAGCTAGTAATTTTCGTAAGATTGTAGGAATATGTGTTTTTCAAGTTTCATTGAAGTTCATGAGAAGAAATTGAGTTAGAGAGGAAATTGTTTTTAGAATTTCCCATATTCAGCTGATTTCTCAAAAGAGAGTTGCTACCTTGGGAAAGAAACTTAGTGAAGAAGGAGCTTCCCAAAGCAACTGTGATAAAATTTTTCAAAAAACATAACTTGACCCCCCCCCCCCGCCAAAAAAAATAGTTATCAGTAGTTATTCCATAAATCTAAAATTGCTTTTTAAATATATTTCTTTTCAGTAATATGGTATTTATTATCTTTTATTGATTCATTATACAAATATCTTAAAATACATTTTTAATCATTGAGAATTAGTATTCATAAATTTCTTTCTACATATCGGAATATTTTATTCATTTGAACCAAAAAAATGTTTTCTTAGAGCACTTCACTATAATAGATCACTTTTCTTGACCACAAGGATGACCACTTAATGAGATTTGATTGTAGTGTATGCTTAAGTTTTGAGATCTTGTATGTATTTAATTGCATAATGCTGTAATTTATATCCTGTTGTTTTGAAATATTTAACTTACTTTTTCTTAACTGAAGATCTTTCTATCCTCATTATGGTTTCATCATTGTAAATCGTATGAGTACAACGAATTTTATTGAATCTATCACCAGTGATATGCAGTTCCAGCTTCAAGAGCCTTATCTTTTATACAAAAATCATGCTGGTAAGTTATTGCTAGTTCTAAATACATTTTTTTCATATTTTAAATGTATTCATCAGCTAAATATTTCTGCTTTAAAATAAATTTTTACTTTACCTTTCTTTAGAATATTGTTGCTTTGATTTAGGGTTAGAAATTTTCAGCAGCTTTTTGTTTTGACATTTTGCATTGAAAACTTTAAATGTCAGTTCACTTCTCACCGAATATTGCAGCCCTGAATTATATTTAAAGAAATTAAATAATGAAGAATCTGCATAAATGTATGTATGTTTCTCGCATTCTGATAAAACAACGGTAGCTAGAGGCATCAAATTTTGAATAACGTAATCTTCCTAGGAACACTGGCATATGGAAGCCCAAATTTGGAATTTGTTTTATTATCAATTTCGTATTTTGATTAACAAACTCAAGGATTTCAAAGCAAGCAAGGGCAACGTTGTACAGAAAAAAAAAAATTTTTATCTCCAGCGTGCGAGACTGTGTATCAGAAGTTCTAAAGATTTAAAAATTATTTTGCGATATTGCTGTTGAACTGAATTTTATGGTTTAAGTGCGAAGAATATGATATTTAATAAATAAAGGTAACCCGCAAAACGTTAAAAAAATGCCCCTTTAGGCGTAATGTAAAATCTGAAACTTTCAGATTTTTTTAATTTTATTTATTTTATTTATTTTATTTATTTTTATTTATTTTTATGTTTATCTTTTCTGCATAATATCATTTCTGCAGTTAAGTTTCTTGTAATATTTTTCATGAGATGATTTTCCGTGGAAATATTGTAAAATTGTACCATAAAGTATTTGAAATCAGACAGACCCATCATTTGTCAAATGCCTAATATTGCAGAACTCTGGTATTTCTTCCCAGCATTTGTTTTTAATCAGAGCTTAAATTGTGCCAGAGCCCGGAGTCTGATACTTCTCAGTTCTTGAAATAAACCGTGATTCCAGCCGGAGCACACCGATGCCTTAAATAAAAGGCTCTGGCACTTTTACATAAATGAAACAGTTTCGGCAGACAAGTTTTATTTTAAAAATTAATATGCATTAAATTTGATTATAACTTCGGAATGCAGACCTGTCTTTCTCAGTGGAAAAAAACATACAGAGATATTAAGACTTTTAACCTTTTCTCGTGGGCTGTAAGGAAAGGTGCAGGAAAACAAATTAACAGAGTATTGCACTTCCTACTGCGTGTTAAGGAGTAAATTTTAAGTCTCCATAATTTACTGAAATTTATTGAGACACATTTAAAGTGATGAACATTCAGGACATATATGTCCCAGCGCTCTGTAAAAGGTTAAGGAAAGAAAGCTCCCATCCATATGTCAAAGGATTATTCTCCAGGTAGTGCAATGAAATTATGAGAGCGGGTAATATGATTTGTTCCTGAAAGTACTGAAAGTGACTACCTCTCGTGCACGTCCAGCACAGAGCTCCTGTACACTTGAACTATGTAACCAAATATGGGGAACAAAAATTATCCCTTGTGCAGACCTTATGTTTGTTCTCATATTGTTGCTGGATCGGATTCAGGGGGAAATTTTTTGCCCAGTTGCAATCTGCTTCACAACTAGAATCATACACTGCTGGACATTGAAAATGCAATACCAAGAAGGAGTGGTCAGAAAGTGAAGAAATTTGGAAAAAAGATAACAAGCAGCAATAAGTGATCTTTATTTCAAAATGATAGTCAGAATACAGTGCGAGAACGGCGTCAGCTCAGTAGGATGTAGGACCACCGCCGACAACGATGCACGAACAAACATGTCTAGGCATAGAGTCAATAAGAGTGCAGATGGTGTCCTGAGGGATGGCTCTGCATTCCTTTTCCCATTTGCCACAGTTCGTCTTAGTACTCAGTACATTAGCCAAGTATTGTTGGCCGTCACAGTTCCCTGAATACGAACTAGAAGTGACCTGGAATCGTAGGCAATAGCGCCCCAAACCATTATGCCACATCGTTGCGCGGTGGGGCGTTCCACAGTTACTGCCAGATTAGATCTGCCTCCACGTCGACGCCACACACATATGCGGCAACCGTCACTGGATAAAACAGAAGCATGACTCATCTGAGAACACGACATTTCTCCATTCTGTCATCCACATCGCTGCAGTCCAGCAACCTTCTAAATGTTGCCATCTATGCTGTGGGGTCAATGGCAGTCTTCTTAATGGACGGCGTGAGTGCAGGCCACATTCAACCAATCGTCGGGAAATGGTTCTGGTCAACACGGGAACATCCTTGCATATGTTGCAGAATCGCGGTACAAGGGACTTGCGGGACTGCCACAGCTTGTCGGCGGATGGGTCGATCCATGCATGCTGACGTCACTCTGGCTACACCTGCACCCCTCCTTCTTCCCACATTTCCTTGTTCCAACCATGTTTGCCATAGCCGATGCACCGTGCTCGCATCCATGTGGGTATCAGCTGCGATTTGACGTCAGGACCAACCCGCCCTTCTCAGTCTGATCACCATAGCCCTCGTAAAATCATCTATCTGCTGGAAGTACCTTCGTTGACAGCAGCCTGGCCATTCTCTCCTGTTATACGCATCCTCCAGGACAAAAACCAACAATTCAATAATTCATCTGGCAGAAATAACGACACGAATATCGCTATTATCTGGCAGAAATAACGACACGAATATCACCATCTGGCAGAAATAACGACGCGAATATCACCATCCGAATCCATATCCATACAAATATCGCGCTAAACGCGACGTCTCCGCCTCGATGACGAGCAATGCCATAGAGGTAACATGACGTTAGAATGCCAGATGAGTAATTTCCAGAGGAAAGAATTCTGAACTACAGAGGGAGGAGCCTAATGCATGGCAGGCGTAGAGAGAGGTCAATCATGAGAAGTAGGCGTGACTACCAACCATAGTAGGAACGCAGAGTCTGGAAGGCGGTGTTATCTCCTGAGGCCCGAAATATTGCCCATTCTGCATGTTCCTTCCCTTATATCTTACTTCTTGTGCGTCAGAGAGCTGCGCATTTCACATCATTCGCATAACTCGGTGACGTGCATCTACTCTAAAATTTGCATAAATTTCTGACCACTGCTTCTTGGTGTTGCATTTTCAATGTGAAGCAGTGTATGTGCAGGGCGTCGTGGTCAGAAAGCTTAGGACTCTTCTCCCTTTGTTAAAAGTAATGTTTTTTTTTCTGTCATTCCTTGAATGAGTACGTTATACCATATATTCTAGTCTTGAATTTAGCCAAAAACCGGCCTAGCTATTGCTAAGTTTTCCGAATGAAATTTAAGAACTCCAAATAAGATGATTCCCGGTATTTTATCTCTTTTATTTAACTGTTTATCATGAATTATAAATTTATTAAATTTTTATTTATATCTTCATATTTTATTTAATTTTAATTTAATTATTTGATTATTTTAATTATTAGTCATTTTGTTTTTTATTAGTTATTTTATTTATTAATTTTTCCCTTCTTCCTGCGGCACTTTTGATTATAGAAATTAAGCCCTGTTTTTAGTCAGTATTATAATTCAAGTAATTTAGCAGCCAATTCATATAAATATGTAATGATTAGCAATACTAAGTAAATAGTGATAAATTTTTTAAATACGTATTACAATTTAATTTTAGCCAACTGATTCACAGAATAGAAAAGTAGTAGTATTAAAATAGAGTGAATCAACTGAATCTACCACTGTCCGTAGTATCTGTAAAAGCTTCGTGCAGAAGATTTTGTGAATATTTCTTTAACATAAATGCAAACCATTGCCTCTCGAAATGCCTCCAATGTACACCTTGCACAAAAAAATAGGGAGGGGGCAATCCTATAGCTCCCATTCTATTGCGTCAATTGACGAAATTTAACTTTTTTCATGTCTCGAAAGCGCGACTTAGGACATATATTAAATTTATGCATAGCAATTATACTTTCATAGGTATTTTGACATAAAATTGGACATTTTCAGAAATGACATACCGATTTTTTTTCCATATTTAGATTTTATGACTTAAATTATGCCTAAATATGAAATTTTGTAAAATTTGGTGAAAAATTTACCGGAAATTTTTAAATTTATTTTGGCGCATTTTTTTCAATTTGCACCAAGAATAATTCACTCAGCAAAATTTTTTATTTATAGCAAGCTATTTTCCTTTCCCTTTTTTTCATTGTGCACGATCTGAAAGAAAGGCGCCTCTTTCATTCTTTCAAAAAATTTTAGCAAAGTGCATAAAGCACATTTGGCGTTATTATCACTTATAACAAATATGCTAATTTTAAAGCACGTTAGTATTTAAATTCACGTTATCTGTGGAAATTTTGAATAAAAAAAAACTGTAATTTTTTGCAGGTGTGCCTAGAAATACATCTACTTTTGATGATAAAAATATTATAGGTTATAATTCAAAAATGTTTTCAAAAACTTTTCAAAAAATATATTAAAAATTTCTAACTTAAAACATATATAGTTGTAACGAAAGTTTTCCCATCAAAAATCGCTCTTAATATAGTTGGGAGGAAGGAAAAATGGAAGCTGTGCTTTTAGTGCGGGTACTTCTCATCACCCAAATCTGTGATTTTCTGCAGACGTTTTGGTAGTTTTTCAAAGTCTTTGGTCCAGAAAACTTGGTGAGCGCAAGTCTTAAAAATAAATCAACTTAGTTTCGGATGTCCTGTGCAGAGTGGAAGATAGCACCAGCTGGTGGTAAAAGATTCCATTCAAGTACATACAGAATCAGCTCGTGAATGCAGACACATGTGATGTTGCATTATCTTGATGGAACAAAACCTTTTTGCGCCGGAACTCAGTTTGACGTTTTTCCTTGATAGCAGTGTCAACATGGACTAGCATCTCGCTGTACACCTTACTATCGAGGATTTTACCTTTTCATATTGCCCTTTGCGGCATTGTCGACAAGCTTACTGGGCACAGACCAACCCGCTTTTCGGCCTGTGTTGTTGAAATAAATTCACTTTTCATCACAAGCAACAATCCGTTTCAGAATTTTGAATATTCAAGCAGATTAGTGCAGGCCTGAATACGTCTGTCCTTCTCGGCTTGAGTCAGCTCATGCGGAGTCCAGCGATTAAACTTTATGCTATGCAAATCATGACTTATGGATGTGGCACTAATATCTAACTCCTTAGCAAGCTCTCAAGTGGTCACATACTGAACTGCTTCCACAAGTTCTCATAGGTGGGCCTCATCAACATCTATAGGCCGCCCAGAGTGCTCTGCATCTTGAATGCCATAGTCCTTGTTCTTTAACTTTCGGTGCCAAACCTTCACAGTGTCATATGATACAGCATTAGTACCTAAATCTGTACAAATGATTTAGTGACATTCTGTAGCTGACGTACCGCAACAGATCTGGAAGGAAATGAAGGTTCTAATCTGGTAGTGTGATAGTTCCATTTCAGACATCTTGTACTTAGTGATAACGATTTTTATACAGATTTTACAATGCGGTGTTGTAAAGCAAGTCTCTTTCTTTCAAATGTAAGACATAGTTTGAAAAAATATGATTAAACATGGCAACGTGAACTGGTTGCTCAGACAATATTTGTAGTGATTTGGAAACTTTCATTAAAACCAGATAAATCAGAAAATATCTGCAAATTTTGTTTGGATTGAACCTAAATTTCAAACTGTGAAAGAAGAAACAATCAAATGAGTTTAATAAAAAGATGTTAATAAATATATACCAAATTTAATTAACGCTAAGGAGCTAGAATTTTAAGAAATAGTTTTTTAAAAACTACTCTTGCAATTTTTGCAAAACTTGGCACTTGATAATTTGAGTTGCACCTGCATAATTTGAGTTGTAAAATCAAAATATGGAAAAAAAAATAGGTATGTTATTTCATAAAAGGTCCGATTTCGTGTCAAAATACCTATATTAGAAAAATGCTATGTATAAATATAATATATATCCTAAGTTGCGCTTTCAAGTCATGAAAAATGAAAGTTAAGTTTCATCAATCCACATAGTAGAGCAGAAGATATAGAATTCACTCCCCTTTTTGTGCAAGGTATACATCTCTATATGTAATTTTCCATATTTCTATGTATTTTAAAGCTAAGATTGCTCCATTTAAAATTATGCTTGATGAAAATGCTTAGTAGCAGTTTTGTTACCTGTATTTTTATCAATAAATTGCTTTTTAATTCATTTTGATAGGACAAATAGAAAATTAGATATTTTAGTTTTTGCAGACCTTAAAATTTGCAAAAGAAGGTAGCAGTTTGCAAAAGAAGGTATCGGAGAATATTGTGGATATGACATAAAATTAAAATAAGTACATTAAAAATAATGCTTGTTTTGAATACCAGTATGGTGTGATAATTACCAAAAAGAAATCGAACTTTTTTAAAAAATTGTTGAACAACCAGTGCTGTCTGACTTATATGAAATTGCCAATAAATAGCTATAGCAATTAGAGCCAGGTCTTTGATATAAGTTGGTTTTCAGGCTGATTATAATTGTAAGAATCTGACATTTATTTTTAAATTAGATAATTGGTAATATTCATTCTGTCTATGAAACTGAAGAGATAAAAATTTCAAAATGCATTTTCATTATCTTCTTATCGTGATGAATCAAATATACGTACATAAAAATATACACTGAAAAGCCAAAACATTATGACTGTCTACTCAATAACATGTCGCACGACCTTTGGCCTGCAAAACAGGTGTAACTCGCCTTGGCATGGATGTCACAAATTCTTGGTAGATGACTGGATATAGGTTGTTCCAAATGTCTATGCAGTGGGCATGCAAAGTCGAGATATTTCGGCATGGTGGTGTTTGAGCTCTGAACTGCCACTCCATGGTGTCTATTGGGTTAAAATCCAGCAAGTTAGGTGGCCAGGACATTAATTAGAATTCATCCTTATGCTCCTCAAGCCACTCCAACACATTTCAAGCCTTGTGACATGGGGTGTTGTCCTGCCGAGAGATTTCATTTCCAGTTGGAAAGACAGATGTCATATAAGGGTGCAACTGATCCGCAACTGTGTTCTTCAACTGTGATAGTCTGCAGCTTTTAGCGTTTGTTCTACAGCAACTTAGAATCCCAGAGCCACTAATGAGAATGCCCCCTCAAAGCATAATACCATCACCACTAGCCTTTGCTGCTGTATGGGGGAACAATTGTTTGCTGGAAAGAAGGCATACCCTGACACGATCATAAATGTGATGTAAGGAGAAATCATGATTCATCAGACCAGGCAACTGTCTTACATTTATGGCTCAATCTCGATGTTCTCGGACCCGATGCAGTCATAGTTAACACCACTTGGTCAACAGAGACACACGAGTAGACATTGTGTTTTAAAGGAATAAAAAAGAATTTAATAATCAGAGAAGATCACAATAGAAAAGTGAAATGAAACATAAAGTGTCTCATATTTAGAAATTATTAGCATGTACCGAAATGATATGGAAGAATGATTTTGAAAAGTTTAAAAACAGAAAATGTAATCATGATTACATATATTCTGATGTTTCTTCAGTTTGCCCTTGTACTGCATAGATGAGGTCTCATCCAATAGTTTTACTACTGAATGCTAGTAGTTTGACCTGGCTTTAACACATAGTCCTCATGTGCTTTGCTGTATTCCAATAACCTCCCCTGCCCTCATTAAAATATTACTGAATGTATTGTCATTTTTACTGAATGTATAATATAATTGGACAAAGATAATATTTCATATCACTGTACAGGTAATTGTATTCTGTCTTTAATCTCTAGGAGAAATTATAGGTTCATGGTTTTATGAACATGAAGATCTTCGAAGAATTACAAAAAGGATGCAAACGTAAGGAAATAATAGACTGTAATTAATTTTTAATTTCCAGTATGATTTTAATTAATATTTAACTGCAATTAGGAATGTTGCAAGAAATATTTATTCATGTAGCATGATGCTGATTTTTTCATACAATTTCATTTTCTAGAATAGTCTTGAAACAGGTGTCAACACCTAAGAGACAAAGATGTGCATCGGAAAGTGAAACAAAACCAAAACAAGATGTTGGTCAAGACATTATAGCTTTGTTATCTCAAGCTCATGAAAAATATATGGTTGGTGTATAACTAATTACCCATATATACATTTTTCCCCAAAGAACTGTATAACCTTGAGTATTTAATGAATTAGAAATCTTGCTTTTATTGATAATAGTATTTATTTTTTAATAAAACATAAATCATTAAATTATTTTAAATGTAAATTTATGTAAATATATTAATTTCTGTGTGTTCATTTTAAAATGAAATATTAATAAAAGTTCACCAAATTATCTTTTAAAAGGCTTCTAGATATGCAGTATGTTTCTCAAAGTCTCCTTTAGAAGCCATAGCAGTTTCACACTGAATATTACCATACCCTTGAAAAATCATATCTGGAATTTTAGTCTCGTAATATATAAAATTTATTACTGAATTATTTTTTGTCAGAAGTGTTAATGCATGTTTTAGCCTTGGAGGTGGTGTAGAAGTTCTTTGTTTTACCTTTTGATTGTAACTGGATCAAGTTGAATCCCTTTCTATTCCTTAAAGTTATTTGGAGTAAAAAAATATTTGCAATTGCTGTCTTTTTGTAGATATTTCTGTCTATATAGTGTGCTTGATTAAAATATGTATTTACGGCTTATTTTACATTTTTTGAGATCTTTCCATTTGTCTTTAATATTGGATCTTCTGCAACAGATTTATTTATGTTTGTTCAATTTGTCTTATACAATTGGTGATCTGATGGTTAATATCAGCGAACAGTAGTAGTTTGAATTTTAAGATTCTGAGCTAGAAAGATTATCTACATTATCATATTTTTTTTAAATATGTTCCTGATATGTAACACAGATAAATATAAGCCATTTCCTTTAAAAAAAAAAAAGAAAGAAAAGAAAGCAGAGAAGAAACATTCTTTCTGAAAAAGAGGAAACTTAAGTGCTTTACGAAAATAATTCTATTCTCATGTATTCTGTATCTCTTTTAACATAAGTGTGATAACAATTTTGACATAAATGTTATGCATACATTAAATAGTGAGTAATATTCTCAGTTGCAAAAGGAATATCAAAAAACTGTGTTTCATGCTTTTGAATCATTTAAAAAATATTGCAAATAATGGAATTCAGTGTGAAGGACTCTTTTTTTTTTTTTTTTTTTTTTTTTTTTTTTTTTTTTTTTTTTTTTTAAAGGGAAAAAAGTACAGATCATGTAAAGTTATCTAGTTCTGAATAAATAATCAGTCTTAAAAATTTTCATTCAGCCTACATATACATTGCTTGAAAACTGCTAAGGAATGGTTAAAATTTTTGCAATAATTAATAATAGGCACTGATTGAAGAAATGAAACTAAGTACATATTTAGTAGAGACTGTGTGCATGTATTATTATGCAAAATGGTACAGATATTGCCATATCCAAAAATAAGAAAATTAAAAACAAAAAAGATGCTCCTTGGGCGATTTTCAAATAACCATGAAAAAGGGGTCTTCTTGCTAGAATAGTACAGATATGTGTACCTCAGTAAGATGTGTGATTACCTCGGACACTAATGCAAATTTCGCATCTGTTATTAATGCTTTTTATTAAACTATCGAGGAGCCCTTGGGGGGGGGATATTGTCCCACTCCTCTTTCAGGGCAGTTTTCACTTGCACGTTTCGGGAAAGGAGTGTCTTTGCGAAACACGTCTGCCAAGGGCTGCCAGGCATGCTCTATAGCAGCGGTTCTCAACCTTTTGACTAATGCATATCATCTAAACAAGAACTGAAAAACTTTAGTACCACCACTACATTTTACAATGATTATTTTTGAATTTCTCAATAAAACTATTAAAATATATATGCATTTCCATTTGCACAACCCATTCGGTATTTTTGGAATTAAATATGCACACATTAAAAAATATTATATTAAAAATTGGTTACCATTTTATCAAAATTTAAGTTATAATACTTAGATTTTAAAATTTAATGTGAAATATGGGCCGGTTTAAGAGAGATCAATTTCTTTATAAATTTTAATTTCAATTAGCTTTATAACCGTAAATTAGGATGCACTTTTAATTTTCTGATGTATTTATTTTTCAAATACAACATGGAAGAAAATCCTTGTTCACACAAATAGATTGTACAAAAAAGCAATATAAATTTGATATTTTTGTTTGAAATGCCTTCAAATTCATTTTTTTGGTTCAGCCAAAAGTTAACAAGTGTGTTATTTTTGTAATCTTCAGCTAGAGTTCGATCACAGGAAATTTTTATCAATTTTTCTTTTTCTTCAGGAGATTTTTTGAATTTAGTTATTAAAAATACTTTTGTTTCTTTGCGTACCACCGGTTGAGAATTGCTACTCTATAGGATTTAGGTCTGGGAAGTAAGCAGGTCATTGCATACGGGCAATATCTTCACTGTAGTGTGTCCGATACCTCAGTGCTCCTGTGTGGTCTCGCATTGTTGTCCATAAAGAGAGTGTGGACTTATTGCACTCCTAAAAAGATGATATGATCTAGAATAATCTCTCTGCAATACCATTGTGATTTTATGCTACCTTGATCGAAGATGTGGAGCAGTGTTCTACCATTGTGTATGATGCCTGCCCACACCAACACACCTGGGCCATACTGATCACATTCATGGACATACTGTTGTGCATTATGTGTTCCCCCCTCTCTCTCTCTCTCTCTCTACACTAACTGGGGGCCTGAATCACTTGCCACAGTGAAACAGGATTTGTCGGAACCCATCACTTGCGACCACTATTAGTGACCCCAACCAATATGTTCCTTACATCAATGTAATCTTTCTCAACGATGGTATGGTTGAAGTGTAATGCCTCAAACAGGCTTCCATGCATACTGTCCAACTACATTTAATTGCCATGAGATGGTTCTGGCAGAAACATGTGTACCAGTAGCAGCTGCAAGGTCTGCAGCTATCTGACTTGGAAGGACATTTCTGTTCCTTTTCGCCACTAGGAATACATACCTAGACTCTTGAGGTGTGGTGTTTCTAGCTTAACCGCCAGAATGCTTTCGCATAGTATTTCCACCCTGAGCGGCCTTTTTTAATCACGAGATGACACTTTTTGACACTACCATTGCTGTAGCCATAGTGATGACACTTTGACCTGCTTCCAGCCATCCAACTGCTCGTCCACGATCATAATCACTGAAATTATATCTTCCAGACATTTTGCACTTAATTAATGCAGCAATGCACTGAATTTCACAGAATTAAATTCAGCAAGGTACGGCACTCTTTTGATCAAACACCTAACAGCATGAATTTTCGAATGAATGAAGAGCTTGTGTGCACTGCCTTTTATACAGATAGTGGGTCCTGCTCTACCATGCCCTCTGCACTTGATTTTACTTACTCGAGAATGCTACTTTGCATAAAGCGGTTGTTCCTTAGCAATTGTCAAGCAGTGTATTTAAAGTACAAGTGTATAATTCTTTTCAGCTTGATTATTTTTAGAATAAATATTTCAATACGTAATTTTTATCTTTCAGGCAAAAGAATCAACTCCAAAATGTATGAAAAACAACTTAGATGAATGTGCAAACCCTCTTGTAGAGAATTTTAAAACTGTAGGCAATAATGAATTATTAGATTCATTAAGAAGAAATAAAGTTTCGGGAAATCAGTCCATTCCTAAATTTCCTGCTTCACCTCAAAGACGATATTCATCTGCTGTGTCTTTCAAACCTATTATGTCCAGTTCTCCACCTTATCTAGCATCTAATGAACATCTTACAAAACTGTTCCAAAATGGCATATCTGAAAATCGGTTCAATAATTTGGACTTTAAAACACTGTCTTCTGAAATCATTTCTCCTACAGATTTTACCAAAGAAACATGTGATGTGTATAATTCATCTGCACCCACGAGGTTGTCTCCACTTTTTAGTCAAAATGAAATTTCGTCTCCCCTGTCAGATATTGGAATATTGGAAGATTCATTTGATTCAAGTTATCCACAGGTAATTTTTTCATTTTTGAAATTTTTAAAAGATATATTTGATTAACATTTTCAGGTTATACAATGAAATTCCTTAGTTGTAGAACATTTAACTTCTAAAAATGCCTTCGATTACTTTTTTATTTGAGAAGTTATTTCTAGAGATGATATTAGAGTGTAAAATTGAAACTATGGAGCCTCAATAATAGTTGTAAATTTTTTCTTAGAAATTATTTATTTGGAAATCTTGAAAAATAATTTATTCCTATTTATAAAAAATATGATTAATGAATTTAATAAAGAAAATATAATTATTTTATTCTTTTTTAGTTATTACTACATATTTTGGAAATAGTATTAAATAAAGATTTTCATTGCTTCTGAAATTTTTAATTGGTGTATTGGTATATTTAATTATGGCAAAGCACACTAGGGCTATCTGCCTAAGGGAAGGAGTGCCTTCGTGGAGGACTTTCTAAGAGAAACTACACGTTACACATGGGGAAAACCACGAAAATGCCCATGCAGCCAGCCCATTCGCTGGATTCAAACCTCAGACCGAACTACCAGTGTTCAGCGACTTTTACTGCTCGGCGGCTGGTGGGCAAATTTTTAATTGTATTTTTATTCTTAGTGAATCCTTTATATGCTTGATGTGAAATACAATTTTTATGGTAACTCTGAAGCAAAATTAAATAATATATAACTTTTCAGGGAAACATTTTTATTGAACTTTTGTATTTTAATTTGAAAATTAATAACAGTGTCCAGATAATTATCACTTTGTATTAAAAATTATAATTATAATTTAAGAAATTTGAATTCAGTTTGTGATAAACTAAGACATCTTGATTATATTTGAAACTAGTACGATAATTTACATTTACAATTATAGATTATTTCTCATACTGTTTTTATTGTTAATTTTTGCATATATATTTTCATGATTAAGTGATGATATGATGATTTCATGATTGAGATTTATTGATGCAGTTATATCTTTTGGACCATATGAAACTGCAGCAGAAATATGCATGAAAGCACCAAATCTGGCAAGCACGCCCATTTAATCACAAACTGTGTGTAAATTTAGATTTCTCAAAATGTGTGTAAATTTAGATTTCTTGAAATGTGTGTAAATTTTGACTTCATGTAAATTTAGATAATTCCAAATTTCAAGTCACCATTAAAATACTGGTTTTTAAATTTTTTGATAACATTATGGATCTGGCAATTTGGAAATCACCCTAGGACAAAAAGTCTGCAATAGAATTTTTTCAAAGAAAATGTATAATTGATAATAGAAAATTTGCTCACACAAAATGAAAAAATTGTGTTTTATTAGTAACTCAATGGTGAAGTATCACTGCAGGAAATAATCGAGGTTCATCTATTTTTGCTGTCAGAAGATGATAGCTATTGAACTTTATGAATTCTATCTGAAGATGAACCACAGTACCACTGTAAGACTGGAACAGTTACATGCATGAGATGAGATGAGTGTGACAGCTTCAGTTACTTGACCTACATTAAAAATCAGTAGATGTAAAAAGATTATTGAAGTAGATGAGAGCCTTTTCACTCAAAGAAAGATCAGTGTTGGGCATGTTCTTTCACCACAGTAGGCTTTCAGTGGAGTGAATCACAGTAGGCTTTCAGTGGAGTGAATCACAGTAGGCTTTCAGTGGAGTGAGAATCAGATGAAAGTTGTTTTTAGTCACTGTTCCAAATTGATGGGTGAAAACTTATCATAAAAATATCACAGAAAGAAACATTATTTGTACAGATTGCTGGAAAGCATACAAGTCAGATGAGTCAGAAGATTTTGGCTTTGAACATTTTACAGTCAACCACAAATATAATTCCATAAACCTGAAATTGGGTGTCATACACAAACAATAGAGCAGCTGTTGAGCTGTATTTAATGGTGTAATAAACACCCTCAGGATATTGCTCGACAGCACAGATTTTTATTTGTTCACATTAATGTGAAGATGTTTACACATGCACAAAAAAGAAGAAAAACAAAAGAAAGAACTGCATGTTGGATGATACCAAACATTGTATATCTCCCATGTAATTTCAATTATGTTTAGCTGTTTTATGGATTACAATAAAATTGTAAGATGTGAAACTAGTAAAAATGTTATATATGAATATATGTTATTCAATTAACTAATCGACCTTTCATTCAAATTGAAGTAATATTTTTCGATAGTTATTTACTATTACGCTTTCTTTCTCGCATTAGGGTTACCCTAATTACTTTTGGCATCAACAATAGTCGAGATTTTTTACTGTCCTGATAATGGAATTGTACCAATTTATTTTAATTGCACTCTTCTGGTTTTCATTTCAACAAATTCATTAATTACATAAGTTTTTTAATGATAGTGTATTTTATTGAAATAATAGAAAGGCTAGATAATCATTCCTGTGTGATAGTTGATCTTGAATAATTTTTTATTAATTTCAACTTGTTAAAACTTCTCTCACAAAAAGAATAGAAGTGAGAAGAGTTAGAAATTATTTGAATAGCGACATTCATATATCGGTAAGACTTTGTTTAAGCGGAGATGCAATTTTGATCTTTTGTATAAGTCATTACATCAAACTTAAAACTTTCAGTTTCAAATGTGAATTATCACTTTTTTAAATCTTTACTATATTTAGTAGTGAGATCTGCAGCCATTTGTTTTTTTTAATCAGTAGTACTCATGTATTTTAAAGATGAGCCATAGAGAATGCAAAAATCATCACAAATAGTACAGTCAAAAGTCGTTAATTCGGACACCCATAATCCGGAATGATCTATAATCTGGACCTCAAAGCTACAAACTTTCTGCGCATGCATCGCATTGATGTATGCGTGTAAGACCTTTACAGCTGCGAATATGCATTGCACGTGCGCAAAATACGTTTACGAATGCGCGTTTAATGTATAATGAACGGTATAAGCTAAGCTAAAATTATCTAATTCAGTTAGTGTTGCAGATTGCGTTGTTCCTTAATCTTCGAATTGGATTCAACTTATTATTTTTTGCAGACTGTTAGAGCAATTTTATATGAAGTAAGCTTGAACTTTCGATTATGTCAAATGGAATTTCTGATATATATTTACTATTATGTAAAGGATCTACAAAGCGAAAGTATGTTCAAAGTCCATTAAACAAAAAGTGGAATTGCTGCAAAAAATGGATATAGGCATATCCTTTGTTTATCTAAACTTTAACGTTTGTTTATCTTTAACGCCACCACACGCAATGAATTGGAAATTGATATGTCAGCACTATCCTTATCTTCAGGGCAGATGTTTTTTATTTTATTTTATTTTTTTATCTTACTAAATGTAGTATTTCATCTCGATGTACTCTGTCTTTGATATGATTTAAATCAAATTCGTCGTCATTATAATTTGCTTCCGATAGCGAAGAGTGACAGAGGTTATTGAAAACGAAAAAATTTTGATTGACAAATTAGTCGGTATTCTCGACGCAGCAATTATAGGACTTGAACAGCGGAACTTTGTAACTCAACAAGAAATTATGTCTGTTTATAGAATTAAAGAGAATGTATTATCACATAAAAAACGAAGCAAATTACATTGAAAGAAATGTTTAATAAAGTAAACAAATAAATATTAAGCTTTTTTTTTTTTTTTTTTTTTTTTGTAAATTTTGATACCCTTTAGATCTTAATTGTTCTTTATTTCATATTTTTAATTTTATAATTTCTGCATGCCATCTTACCAGATTTAAACTGATGATCTATAATCCGGAAAAATCGATAATCCAGAATCGCCGAAGTCCCAACGAGTCCAGATTAACGACTTTTGACTGTAATTTTAAATACAGCACCTTTGGTACTAACCTTTGATGACTACCTTGTATCAGAAAAAATATTTTGAGTCATAATTTTAGACATTTAATTGAAACGTCCCAACGTGTTATAGAGGATGAGAAAAATTTAAATAAACTTTGCACAGTATGAAAAAAAAAATCATTTATGGAGTTGTAGATGCAGCATGGATACCAGCTAAAAATAAGCCATGCAAGGAACAAATATTGCTAAATTATTAATTTTCAAACTGCGTGTATTTACTCCCTTATATTTGCCAGACATATTAGCACCATTATAAAATCCTTGCCTCCTGCAATCCTGAATATAAAATTTATCAGCATCTCATCTATTTAAAGGCCCAACCAGTGCCCAAGTGGTAACCATTCCTGATATTTGATATTTCAGTCCGGGATTTGAATCCTGGTGAATAGCTTGGCTGAATGGGCATGGTTTTCCCTATGTGTAACATGTATATGAGTCATTTTCCAATGAAAGTCCTCCGTGGAGGCATACCTACCCTGAGGCAGATAGCCCTCGAGCATTTTGCCATTATCAAACAAATCAAATACAGTTTATTTAAAATTTCAGTCAATAAACTTTTCCTTTTTTTTTCTTCTCCCCCCATGTAACTAAATAAAGTTGAGGAAGCTTTCTTCAATCATTACCTTACGCTTACAGTCAATGTGGATATGTCTTATGATCTGTCTCATTTGCTGTTCTCCTGAAACATCTGGGGTGCAATTGAGTAAAATGGTGTAGTATATTGCTTTCTTAATTCTGTATATGATTTCATTTCTAGTTTTGTCTCCAACTACTTTTATTATTTTATTTTGAATATTGGGTGAGAAGTAAGAAACTAAACCTTTATGATTTTCAAAATGTTCCTTTAAAGTAGTATTTATTGCTAGCAACCAATATTTCATTCCATATAATTTTTCCTTCTTAATTGAATTAACTACTTGATTATCAGTTGCATTTCCTGATTTTAGATCCTTTTCCATCGCTTTCCATTTCACAGGACATTTCCATTTTGATGCTTTAGAGAATTTTCTTGTTGGGCAATAACCAGACAAAAATGCATCCAGTCATGAAATCCTGTATGTTAGTATGAAAGATTATGCAGTTTGTGTCTAAAAAGCGTGAAAGGAAAGTAAAATACAGCATTTTGTTCAATAGAATATA